CAAAACGCTATATCATAGAATGAAAAAGAAATGTTTTTATAAGAAGAAGTAAGACAGCTTAGCTTAGAATTAAAGCAATAAATGGGCCTTGTAGAAAAACTGAATTGGTTTCGAATTCCAAAAGTAAGAATTTTGCACATTAAAATCAGTGTAAGCATAGTATTAATGAAATGGATACAAAATTTCCAAAAGATTTAAAATATATTAATAAAACAAAGCACTATTTTTTTGTAGCTAAGAAATTACACTGAAAATGTAATTTAATATAGCGGAACGCTTGGACACTGAACAGTATGAATTGCAAGGTGACAGAAACTAATTTTTAATTTTTAGGAAATTTACGCATTGTTACCTTTCAAGGAACGAGATAACAACAAACGGTATTAGGGTAAATAAGGAACGAATAAAAAATGATGTCAAAGAATGGATATGTTGCCACGGGTATATTGATAGAAGTAAACCAAATTGCCGAATTGTAGCAACTTTGCTGAAACATAAATAGAGTAGAACGGAAGGAATGGAAACAGAACGCTATGAGATGAATTATAGCAGTAATTTCTAACAACAAAGCAAGTTTTTTAAAACCTAACACTCAACGAATGAAGTGGAATAGAGCGGAACGGAGTATTAGGAAACGAAACACAAAACACTGACAGAAAGAATATAGAAAATGTTGAACAGAGGAGAGTAAAAAATATACAAACGTGGTGCAGAAGGAACAAAAACTATTTTATAGCATGTTTTTTCCATAGAGATGGCAAAATAATACTGAGTTAGAAAATAAAACCGTTCAATTTAAAGATTCAAATTAAAGATTCCACAAACAATTTTCATACATTTTTAGACTTTTGGAAAAACAAATCCTTTTAACCTAGCAATATATGTACTCGAACTGCTAACGGTAACTATACTCGTAAACAAATCGAGTGCAAAGCAAAACGTTACAACAAATGACCAAAGCCATTAGAGTGATTTTTTACTACGCGTTCTGTGGCACAAAACAAATGCGCTAATCGGTAAAGCGGCAAGAGATGAGGTACGGAAAAAATTCTTTTAAATATTTCGGTGAACTGTAACTCTAGTTAGAAGTTCTGACATAACAACTTAAACTTTCAAAAATATTTACGTGGCCTTACATGTTCTGGTCATTCCTATCCAATGTAGGTCGAACACAAGTAGTAATTATAATTTATGTAATAACTTATAAAAGTACGTTAAGCAGTATTTATTAAAAGGCTTTTTGATTTTCTGAATCATTGTTTTTGTGTGATTCTTGTGGTAATTTGCTAAATGTAGGATCGCTCAGCCACAGCCTATATAAATGTTTTTAAAAAGCTCCTATATGTATGCATCACTAGACTTTGCTTGAAAGGCTCGGACCGCAATACAATATTTGTAGTATTTTGAATTTTGGTAAAATATTAGCCTTAGACTCAAGATACATGGAAAGATAGATAGCCATTCAGTTCAGATAGTGCAACAGGCAGTAAATCATAGCTTATTGAGGTAACCAAATACTCGTGTTATATCTTACTTAGTATTTTTTAGATGCCGAACTCTCTACAACTTTCTAAATTATGCACAGAATATTATTCATAGTGAAATTTGGAGTGATCGATTCAGATGTTTTATTGTTACAAGGAGCTTGGCCCGCAAGTGATCGTTGGTTAAACAAGTGTTTGTGAAGCGAGATAAGAACTCCATTTATATACTAACTCTCGACAAAGCTGACAAATTTGCTGGGGTACTTTATTTCTCTTACCGCTATTTTACCTAAACGAGTGAAATCCTTGAACTGACAATTGAATGAGAATTCTAGCTCATCTTCTTCCACGCTTTTTATGCAACTGGAATTCGGCTGAACTTTGCTGAGGGTAACGAACTCACTAAATCTCTTGCGATTTACCCTAGGCCAGAAGGTTGCTAGTAATATTATCTGATGACAACAACCCGAGCTTGCTTGGAACCAATCATACAGTAAGGAACCGCAAGAAGCCAGTATCTTAAGTTCATACCTGTCCCCTGGCCTAGCGGGCTAATCAGCCTTGCAGTTTTCAGAAACTCTGCTGTGAGTAGGCATCCAATCCGGTCTAATCATAAATTAATACCATGGCCGAGATATGGAGTTGGAAACTCGTATTCCCTCACTAGTCTCATAAGAAGCAGTAGAGATGCCGATCCTACATATAATAAGTATAAAAAGTTACTACAAAGTTTCTATATATTTTGACGCAAATGAAAACCAAGTTTGACATAAATTCGTTGCATCTCCATTACTATGACAGCAACTCAACTGCCGACTGGCAGAACTGATTGGTGCCTAGCACTTCAGACCCACATCTAACCAGCTCACAGAGGCGTCAATAGGGAATTCAACACACACACACAAAAACATTCAAACAGAATAAAGGCAAGCACACAAAAAAAAATTGTTCAGCAGTTGTTGTTGTAGTGTAAAAACTGCCAAACGAAGCTCCGCCGACAATGCTATACACACATACACAGGTGGGCAGGTAGCTAAGCAAAAATACCAGTAAGAGCTGAAAGGGGCAGGTAAACGGTTTGGCAGACACTGTCAACTCTGACGTTGTTGCCACATAATGAAAACGGAAACGGAAATTGTGTATTGTCTGCCTCCGCTGATGGCATGCCAAATCTAACTCACATACACATACAAACACACATTATTTTTTTGACGATTTGTTTGTCAGTTTGCTTTTATTTCCTTTCTTGTTGTTTGCTTGCTCACCGCAATTGTTTACCCTTGTGGTTGTTGGTGTGTGTTGACATAGATCTAGACACATGTGTGTGCGTGTGCTTTTGCCGATCTGCCAACATCTTTGCACATCATTTACCGCTATTGCGGCGGCAATATTTTTACTGTCGATTCTCTTGTTTGCCTCGCATTTCCTTGCCAGCTTTGGTTTGGCTAGATTTGGCCGATATGCTGCCAACAGCTCATTAGACGCATTGTCACCTCTTATAGCATTTAGCTTGTTTGTTATTGTTATAACGGTTGTTTGTTGGCATCAACGATAATGCAGTAGAAATGGTGTTGAGTGATTCTGATGTGTTTTATGTACTTTTCAGCATGTTTTCGACAGTTACATTGCCTACTTTAAGGCGTAGTAAATAATACTAATGGCGAACTAAATGTTTTCGCACGCTGGCAATGACATAACTGATTTTCCAGCACTTATAATGTGTTAGAAAAATTGTTACTGCTCAATTGTGGTCATTGTGCTACATTTACTGCATACTTTTAGGCTCTCATCTTAATTTTTCAATTTCAGAAATTCTTTACGATTTTTTTAAATGGAAAAAGACATTTTTAATGGTAGCACGGCATTTCGGAATTCATATTATGACATATGTATACTTTTAGGCGCAAATTGGGGAGTATACGCTATGCAGATATATTGTAATAAATGAGATACATAATATTTAGGCGACAGTTGTTTACATCCAGTCCAACAGATTTTTCTGTGTTCCGCTCATTAAATCCAATTTTTCAGATATTGAAGCGTAATTTTAACCATTTTTGTTATATAAAATTTTTGGGTTTAATATGTTTAAATACGTAGTATACTTTTAGGCAATTAATTATTATTTTCACTAAATAAAAAGTTACAGTTGAAAACAAAAAGAAAATGAGACGGTTTATAACACCTTCTTGCTGATATGGGCACAATGGCGCTAAAGGGGTTAAAACGAAGGTATACCCCCTTCGTTATAAACAAGATAAAAGTGACATCCGAAAGTCCTTAATCTTGGACTTTTTATGGACTTCTTCTGTGAGGAGTCAAGTTGAGTATAAGCGAGAAGAAGAATAAGAAAGTCGATGATGTAGTCCTTTTCTGAACTCTCTGTGGTACTCTAAGAAACCCAAGGCCTAGAATAGAAAATGCCGTATACTATCTCAGACAGCTTACATTTAAAAGCTTTCAAGCCACAGAAAGTATTACCTGAGCCATATTTTTGTTATGTTCTGACCAACTTAAGGTTTGTCTTTTCTGGAATAATATTTACTATGGAAGAAGCACATATGAAAATCATTCGTTCGGGCAAGCCTTGACAGTGAGATCTGTTACATTTTTTACCAAAAAAATTAGTTTTAGTTTTTAGAACTCAATAGTTAAATTTTACCAAATCTTCAATTTGGAGGGTTACTAAGCGTGCTTCATTCTAACATTAAATACTTGAATAATGGTTGCATTTGAACAAAAACGCAGCCGAATAAATTCAAATTTTCAGCTTTGAGATTAGCCACGCCAATATGTAGACTACAATTTTGCTTAGAGTCACAGCTGAAAATCAGCAAGGATAAAGAATGAAGAAAATATGTGAGCGAAACTGTCGCTGTTGACAAAGACCAATGACCAAGCGAGATCAAACATACAGCGGCTAGAAACTAGGCCATCAACAAGCGGGATTTGTGAGCAATTGTAGAAAAACAAAAGCAAGAAAGCGTGAAAGTGGAAATCAGTAGGCAAAACAGCAAACAGGAGAAACACAAATCAAGCGCTTTAACGCCCGTCATTAAGGCGATTGGCAAATCAGGTTCGCCAAAGAAAATTTGTCGCAACGCACTTTTAGGCATGCGACAGCTATAACTCTTAAGCAAGATATACTTTTAGGCGCAAAAACGCTATAAATTATTTAGCTAAAAGCAGCAAGAAAAATTATTGCTTCGTCTCGCCAATTGAATTGCAATTAGACTTATCCCCGATATAATTAAGAGCTTACGTAAATGTACAATTAATTTCCGGCTACACTTAACCTTAATACACGATGCTTAACTACTTAACTACTTAAGATACAATTAAATAACCCATGGTCAATGCCACCACAACAATATGCGAAACAACAACAATAACCAACATAAGTACCAAAATAACAACAACTCAACCATGTCTAATCATATTAGTTAATTATGTGCTTGCTTATTAATTTATTCATGTGGTTGTTGGCATATAGGAGTGACATGAGTGGGTACTTACATCAAATTAACCAAAATCGCTAAAGCAGATGTAATCAGCATAATCTTGGCGTTCACTTCAAAATCACGATTAATCAAACGCTGCACGGCCAACCAAACCAGTATGGCTGTAATGACCCAAATCATCACGACCGAGGCCATGGCGCCGATAACCTCGGCGCGATACCAGCCGAAAGACATGCTGCAAGAGAGAGAGAGAAAAAACGAAGAATTAAATGAAAATAAATATGAAAAGGTTGCTGAAACGTGTTGTAGATGGAGAAATGCGAAAAAGTATATTAACAGAGGAAATTAGATTCGTTAAGGTAATTGCACTGTGGCTTACACCCAACAATAACGTAGCGCTTAAAGACAAATAATGATTTATTTTTATTAAAATTATTTATTTTTTTTTCTGTATGCAATGCTTTTAAAATAATACTTTTTAACACACGTTGGTAATATCAACCGACTGCAACGAAATTGTGTTACAAAACAGCGTCACATTCATAATATGCAGAGTGGCCCAAAATTCACGTTGAAGGTAGTTACTTATTTTTTGGATTGTCCTCAGGTAATATGTAAGTGCTTCAAAGCAAAGAACTAAGTAGGTTGCCACATGTTCAAAAAAAATTTAGAAAAAATAAAAATAAACCTAAGTTACAGAAATACCTAATCCGAGGTTCAGGATAGCTTAACGTTAAAAATAAAATTATAAAGAGCGTTGCCAACTGTTATTTGGTATTATGGTATTTTAGGTTCAAATAAATTATACATTGAGATTCAAAAACGCTCAATAAAGGCTTAGGGTTCAAAAAAAAATTAATGAATAGTGTTGCCACCCGCTTCAGTTTTTAAACTCTACAAAACTTATTCGTTACACTAATTTAATAGTTTAGTTAATTGAGAACGGTTGTTAACTGTGTATGTTTAATTTCCAATTATATTTATAATACAGACGAAATAATGCCATATGATTATAAAATTTAATAAGACTGGGAAGCATTTTTCCCGAAGACAGCGCGAGCCTTTAAAATTTTTATAATATAACGAAACTTAACAGTATTGATAAAAAAACTTTAAACTATAGCAATTAGGAAAGCTTTACAAACTTTAAGAGTGTTGCCACATATTTAACAAGTTTTAACATAAACGACTTATTACAATAAAGAGCTTGAACTAAAGACTTTGGGAGAGAGTTTTGGAAAGACTAAAAGTTGAGATTATCTTCTAAGGGTTGCCAAATGTTTTTTAAAATATAGACATAACACTACACAGGTTCATGAAATTTTTACATTGAATGTATTTTTAGTTAGGGTTGCCAACATATAATCGGTGTTAAATTAAGTTGAAAAGTTGACTGTCTTACAGGCGCCATAATGATCTCAACTGGAACCGTTCGATACATAGAACTCCTATATATTGATCATTAAGACCTTAAGGAACCGAGGTTGCTTTGAACCTATCACAAACTTGTTGAGGCGGCTAATATAAATTGTAACTATCTCCCTCAGTTAGCCGAAGGTATGACTACCGAGATTTATCAAGACAATAGAAAAGAAAGTGCCTGGACCTCCCTCCAGAATCTTTTGAAATTTGATTGGGACAAGACTTTTAGCCTTACCGCATAGATGCCTATAATACCAGTAAGAATTCAAATGATTGGAGCAAAACAAGTTTTGCTAAGAGCAAGTAGTTCAGTGGAACTCCAGCGTACTACTCTTGGGCAGAAGATTTGACAATCGCATAGGAGCTGACCTCAACGCCTGCTTACCTCACGCGAGGTCTGTAGATTAACTTTTAGAATGCAATAGAAAAACGGGGATCTAACTCGTTCCCACTACGCTGTGTGTGGGACAAGGGTGTCCACTCTCGCTGGCGCATTGGTTTTGCAATTTTCAACAATTAAGCTGAGTCCAAACACTCCAACGAGACTGTTAAGGAAGAGCTTGAAGGTATTGATTAGGGTGGTAAATTTTTTGGAACAGTGTTGCCACCGATATTAAAAATCATATTGAAGATCATTCAAAAAAAAAAAAGCAGTGTATCAATATACTGGCTTTTAGATAATGATTTCTTTCCCAAATTCTGTTTTTAATTATTTCGTGAGCACAGGTAACGATGGCAGCCAGTCACTCGTATTGCAAGAATTTAAGAGAAAATTAACGAAGTAAGTATTTTACTTAAAAAATTAAATTCTTAAGGCATCTTCGCTTCAAGCGCTTAATTGCAGCCAAGCACACAATATACATATGTATGTAGGTAGCAAGAATGTGCGGAAACTGAAACAGTAGCAACAAAAACTCCGCACAAACAAACTATTAAAGAAAGCATAATATTGGCTTAATTTCTTTTTTAGCTTATTCTCTTTAACTCACACACAGCTGCAGCTACTCAAGTTGATTTTACCATTTTTTTGTGGGTTGCCCCAAGTCCAATGGTTGGAGAGTGAGAGGAAAAGTAAGCAGTCGGGCTGAAATTCAGCGCAAAGTGCCTTTGAATATTTTATGAAAATGAGATTGGTTTTTAGGCTACAGCCGGCATTGCAGGCGCACAACAACAACAACAACAAGCACCAATACGACTCACACTCATCAGTGAAAGCAGCAGCCGACTGCACTCACACACACACGCACGCACGCACATATACATACAGAGAAATTAATGTTGTAGCAATGCTGATTTTGCAGCTTACACTATTTTGCACTTTGTTGTTGTAATGCGCGTGTTTTTTGCTACATTTTGGTGAAGTTAGCTTTTTTTGTTGTTTTTCTGTCCGTTTTTTTTTGCTGCTTTTCTGTGGTTTCCAGCCGCCGAGTAGTCAGAACAGCAGACGGCCTGGAGTTGAGTTGAGTAATTTTGGTCGCGCTTTGTTTTATTACACGCTTTCACTGTGTCTGCCAGTCAGGCCCCAGACCAACAAATTTTCGGCACTTTTCTCCTCCCCACCTCACTCTCTTTTCTCTCTGTCTCTCCACAACGAACAGCCGAATCGTCATAAAACGGTTGTACATTTTGCAACTGTAATTTCTCTGGTGATTTCACGCAATCAAATAAGCAAATATACAGTAAACAGCGAGAAACCGAATAATGAAGTGGCGCTGTGTTGTTGCAGGTGAGCGTTGTTGGTGGGGAAGCGGTAATGTTGCTGAGGTGCTCGGACGCTTGCAATATTGGCTTGTTGAGCATATTTTATTTAAATTGCTACAATTTTTTATTTGAGTTGCGGCTGGCTAAAAGTATACAGTGTAAATTTTTATTTTGCATAAAGCAGGCGAAAAACTTGGCGCGCACAGGTATGCAATTGTTTGCCAGTCAATAAAATAACTTATTAATAAAGCGCCTAAAAGTTGGCAACACTAATGACGATTTATGACGATTTCGTACTGCAAAATAATAACAGAACAAGGAAAAATTTTAGTTTCGACTGCACCGCTATATGTTAATACCCTTCATAGGTGCACTTCTCATAGCGTACAAATGTTAGGCTGTACCTAATTTGATTTTGATCAATCAGTTTGTATGGCAGTTATATATTATAGTGACCCGATCTAAACAATTTACATGGTGTTTAAAGCGCTGATTTGCGAAGATATCTTGTCAAATGTAAAAGTTTTCCATACGTGAACCTAATTTTGATCAATCAGTTTGTATGGCAACTATATGCTATAGTGGTGAGAGCTGAAAAATGTGATCGCAGATTATAGCGCTGTCTTGAATAATAAACTATGCCAATTTTCGTGAAGATATTTTATCCAATAAAACATTTTTCCGAACATGAACTTGATTTTGACAGTTTAGTTTGTATGACAGCTATATGCTATAGTGGTTCGATATCAACAGTTCCGACACATAAGTTGCCGTTTGGAGAGAAAAGAACGTGTGTGCAATTTCATGTCGATATCTCAATAATTGAGAGAATAGTTTACGTATATACACACAGACAGAAATGGCTAATCGACTCAGTTCGCTAATAATTTATATATGTTATAGCTTTCTAAGCTCTCCGACATTTTTTTCTAGCTGTTACAAACTTCGTCGCAAACTATGCAAGATATAAAATTTGATAGCTGTGAAGCACGCAATAAAAAACTACAACAAAATGCAAAAATAATATTTTTTTAACGTGCAAAAAATGGCAAATGACAGGCAGTCAAATATTCGTAGTTGATGTCCAAGCCACTAAGCAGTATTGTAAATTCCATTTCATTCACCCGTCCATTTATTGTACATGTCTGCCACGCCAGCCTTGTCAGCAACACGCTTTTCGAACGTCGAAGACACACAGCTTCGTCCACCGTTGACGTTTTGAATAATCTCATAGAAATGTTCGCCCATTCGGCATGTTCTTTTCACAATTTTTTCGTACATTTTAAAACCTGCATTGCATATTTTGCGGCGTGCTAACTTGCAAATGCAAATTTCTTTTAGACTTTTCGCTTTTTTTAGTGTTGATTTTATGTTTTGTTTTCATTACGATTTCGTAACCACATTGCAATGAGTTGGGAGAGATTTGCACCACCATATTTCACTGAGTTGCAGCAATTTTTCGTCAACAAGTAGTCTACGAACTTGTGCATATTTTTCGACGCAAAAAAATTGCTTTTGTTGGCTCAATTGCGAGAGGTAATTTTTTCTAAGCTGAAAACATATGAGCAGACATGTTTGCGCTGAAATCAACATATTAAGTCATGAACAGGAAAGAGGTAACGGTTGATCTACGATATCTCTATAACAGGATTCAGTATGAACTTGTATATAATTTTCCTTCACATCATCGTTTTGACAAATTTTCAAGAGAGTTTTTACTCTTCATCATTTTGCCTATTTTAAAAGAATTTTTAATATACATATTTCATAATGAAATGCATTAAAAAAATTTCGGGATCCCGAAAATTATATGGAGACAAGAAATTTCGGGATTTGCCACAATATCTTTGAATTAATAAAACTATTAAAAAAAATGTTAATGCATATTACAAGAAAACACCCACTTAAATATACTCCCTTATGAACAAAATTTTTCGGTATCCTGAAATATTTTTCCGAACTCGAAACTTCAATTTTTTTTAGGCAGTAAGGAGAGGTTTAAAATGTTTTCGCATCATATAGGGATCATTCTCCTACGTGTAGCCACTAAAATACAGGTGGAACGTATTCTATCAGAGATTTTTTCCCTTCTCACGGAACTGCTTTCACATT